TATTATATTTTATTATAAAATTTGGAATAAGTGAACCATTTTGGATGAAATAAAAATCTATTCCTCATCCTGGTTAGTCTTCCATTGCCCGAATCTTTACATGTCCAAATGCCAAAATGACCGTATTTCTTACTTCTAAGAATAGACTGTTCTACCTGTTTATCTGAAACCTTTGCAGGCTCCTATTAGTTCTTTATTGTATGTTGTTTCTTTATGGTATTCCTGTTTCTTTATTGTATTCCACTACAATTCCTGCCCCAGTAAAATTTCCTCTAGCTAAAGCTGATTTCTTTTTTTTTCTTTTTTTTTTGAGATCACTCTAAATAGAAGCAAGACATAATTTTCTTGCATCTGCTTGTACTTTATAGTGTTCAGGGCTTTCTGGAGATCTGGGTGTTACATTTTTGTCTTTGCTGCGAAAATCTCTTCACTAGTCCATATTGTCATAAATTTTTAGTGATCAAGATGAGATTTTTCTCAAGAATTTAGCATATGGGATGTCAAGCTATCTTGAAAAATCAGGGAGGTTTTTGTGAAAAACTGCAGGGGAAGCTGCTGGCTGGTGAGCACTTCTGAAAAATCTCGCCCTATGTGTCTGAAAATATCAGAGAAACTAGTGAAGATTCTACATACGGTTACTGCTTCATGACTTTTTCTTAAATACAGATAGGTTCTTCTCATGTGAAGAATAAGAATCTTAATTATTATAATCTTTCAGTTGGCTCCTGTCAGCTTCCCAAATAATCATGAGTAATGCTTGCTGTTATTTTAAGTCAGGTAAATTACTTTTGTCCAGCTGAAAACCATAATCGAATCTACTTATTTCGTTCTTGCCAGGGGCATATGTTTCTTCATTTGAATTCTCATTTGGAAAATTTATACCAGAATATTAAAGCATTAGAGAGGCTTGCTGCTAGGCTTATATTCTAGCCCCTGAATCTGGTCAGGATAAAAATATTTGTCATTGCCGAATTTGTGGGAATGTACTGCAGTCAAGTTGGAACTGCTGGGTCTATTAAAAGGAAGATGGAAGTGGGCTATGACATTGCTTACCTACGCCTTCTCTTGTTCATTACAAAGTAAGCAATACTGAGATGCATCTATATGTAAAAGCTTGTACAGAACATAGTTATGACTTCAGGAGATCCTGGCAGTTGGCTGTGCTGCTTGAAATAGTAAAACTTAGGTTAAAATCATGTTGCGGCTGTGCTTACATAGAGCAGTGATGACATCCAGTGGTTCCCTTACATACAGGTGTTGCCTAAATGGGTATTATCATCAGGTTTTGGGATGTTTCCTTTATTATCTAGTGTATTCTTTTGGGTTTTTTTTTAATCTTCTTGTGTCTTGATTAATCATTTTATTATACTTTTTCCTTACAAGATTGCTAAGGATGCAAAGGAATGCGTGCAAGAGTGTGTAAGTGAATTCATCAGCTTTATAACGTCAGAAGCAAGTGAGAGGTGTCACCAAGAGAAAAGAAAGACCATCAATGGAGAGGATATTCTCTTTGCCATGTCTACCTTGGGGTTTGATAGCTATGTTGAACCTTTGAAGTTATACCTCCAAAAATTCAGAGAGGTTGGTATATACTTCAGTATTTCTTCATTTATTTAATCTAGTTGTGTTTATCCTTAGCTCCCTGTCATTGTAATTGTATAATAGCTAACTTGCACAGTATCTTACAGCTATTGTCAGGGACTAATGTAATGTTTAAAAGCATTCCAGAAGATATCAAGAGGAAACGGAGTAAGTAACCGTTTTGATTAGACTTGCTGATTCAAAGTAGTTCAAGCTTTCAACTGAATAAATCCTCTAATATATTGCTGGTAGTAAATCACTCTGTTCTTTAAAGGTGCCTATTAAGAATACTTAATTCGATCTTTGGGTTCAATCAATAAAACTGTACTAGACTGCATCTTCTGAGGAACTAGCCTGATGCCTATTGTTTGGCTGGGCTTCAGATCTGCAAAAGAAAAAGTTGTTTTTCTCTTGTCGGAATAATGATTCATATGGAAGGTTATCTGCTTCAATTTTTTTTTTTAATCTGTTTTTTAGCCTGTCCCTCAGTTTGCTTTTGATACATAGTACATGCTAGGTATGTGATCCAAGCAGTTTAATTTATCCCTTCTCTAGCAGAAGGTGACTTTTTTTTCCTTGCAGCAATTTAAACTTTTTGAAAAACAAGTTGCTTCTGCCTGGGTTTTTTGTTCTGGTCTCCCGTTCCCCCGCCTCCTGTCTGGAGACTGAAGAGAATTGTGCTTGCTTCCTTCTTTACTTTGGTGTTCTTTTACCTCAGAATACCAGATCTAACAAAACAAGTCAAAGGTATTTTTATCCAGTGACCTCTCTTCCTCATAGTCCTGAATGAAGAAGTTGTTCAGGGTTAAAATAATCCTGGGGAAAAAACCCTCAAAGCAAATTAATTTTTTTTTTTTTAAATGTGGATCTGTCTGTTGGTATGGCTGCTTGGTTTTACTGGCATCGGTGAAGTAGGTATGTCTAAATTGGCAGTGCTGTAGATAGAGATGCTCTTCAGACTTTCTTTGTTCTGTAAACCTAAGTTTTTTAATTAATGGAGTCAGACTCGCTAATGATATTTGATTTGCTGATAGCACTTGAAGCTTCAACTTCCCAGAAGGTCATTTGCTGTGATAACTGAGTAACAGGAGGCGTAATCTAAAAGTTTAAGTACTGCTGTGTGCTATCTTTTTCCAGTTCTGTGTAGCAGTTGCACATGCTGTCAAAGTGCTGTATGTGTGCTTTAATTAAAAATGCAAGTAGTGCCTAATTAGTTTCAGTACTTCTGGAGAAGTATGAAGTGGGTCTCTGCTACTTTCATTCTGAAGTGACCATTTTTGCAGATACATATGCTGTGGTAGCAGAGTAGTGGGATTGGGTTTTAATTGGATGGATGGATGGATTGGATGGTTTTGCTCATCAGTTTTAGACCTCCATTTCAGCTAGTTCTGCCTTCAGGGTACCGTATAGAGTGAAATATTTCTGTTTTGTAACTTAGTATTTAGTCTACATCAAACAGTTGCAGAGAATACTTTTTATACCTGTATTATTTTAGATGTTCTTACGTAATAGCACAGAGCATCAAACTTCATACTTGTAAAACTGCATGCATATGACTGGGAGCCTTGGCTTTCTGTGCTGATATCCTTTCTGGCTGTAGTCCTTGATGGGGGAAAAGAAATCCGATATCCTGGTTTTAAATGTCAACTCATAGTTGTATGATGATGGCACTTGCTTATGGTTGGTAGGCAAATGTTGCACATTCTCGGTAGTTGTTAGATTCTGTGATTTCTTGTAAGTGGTCTTAACTGCTGCTTCTGGATTACTGCAGATCTTTGACATTCTGCAGAAGGTAAAAGCCTTCCTTAGAACTACACAATCCTAGTTTGCAAAGTTTTTGTTTCTGAGGAGTATGGCTAAGATGAAAAACACCCTTCATATATTCTTGTACTATGCGTGTTCTTAAATCCAGTAGAGTTTTACAGGTCTTGGATTTCAAACTCCGGCTGCTGTACAGTGACTCTTCTGCAAGTTCCAAACCTTGGCTAATGCTCCTGGGGTCTTGAAACAATCTCAAGCCAACTGTACTCTAATCTAATACATTTCTTTCTTTCTTCTCCTCCCGTCCTTCTCCAGGCAATGAAAGGAGAAAAGGGAATTGGGGGAACAGTTACAACTGGAGACGGTCTAAGTGAGGAGCTCACAGAGGAAGCATTTAGTAAGTAATGCTTCTTAATTTATTGTATTATTGCTATGGCTTTTCTAAAAAAAGCACCTCTTTTAGACATCAGAGTTCTTACTTGAGGAATATGTCCTGGACTGGCCACATGTTACACCTGTGATCCATTGAGATTTTCATGTGAGATGTCTGGAGGATAACCTGTGCTCAGATAACCTCCTCCCAGTCAGTAGAATTTATGGTCAGAATGAAGTAATGTAGTTTTAAGTGGCGACACTCTAGTAACAGCTAATGTCAACTGTGGAAGATTTTTAAATGCATACATTAGTGCCAGTATTTTTTCTCTACACTTAAACACAGGTTGTAATGAAAGGTGCAAACTTTTTTCTTTTTTTGTTCTTTTTCCCCCAGTAGCTACATATTTAAGCCACATTCGTTCTACTTCCAAGACTGTTGGGGAAAAAGTAAAATAAACTCCACTTGATGACTTGAGGAGCTCGTCTTTGAGAAATGAGCCAGAGAAGAACATGATCTTCGTATAATTCTAAACCACTTAGTATTCCTTATATTCAAAAGAATGCACAGATTGGCAACTAAAAGGTGTAGGACAAGGAGCATCATATGCATTCACTGTAGTTTTTCTTCCTTATACTGTGAATTAAAGCCTGACACTTGTTGGGACTTTGCGTTGGTTTTTTTTGATGCTGGATTCTTGCATGTAGTCTTCACCTTGGCTTTTAAGTGTTATGGGCTGGTAATCTTGAAGCTGATACAAGAATTAGGAGGTGCAGCTCTAGTTGTATCTACTGATGAGATTTAGTTTTTCAAGTATTTGACAAACCTTCTATTTAAAATCACTGGTAAACTACTGAACTAGGAAGAATTAGAAGAATTACTGAAGACTGAAATGACCTATTCAAGGTCTGAAACACACTTTGCTCACAGTACGATGACTCTGGCTATATAAAACAGTACAGACTCTTTGGGTCTTTCCTAGCCTGGAAGATAAGCTCATAAAACTGTCTGGAAACTAAGAATCTAAGCCTCAATATTGCAGGGGACTTACAGAAAGCTTTATTTTTATTAATATGACTATTTTAATTTTATAATTAAAGATTAGGCCATGCAAATAGTAAACTCCTATCCACACTCACTCGTGTAATAGCTCTGGTTCAGAAGTAGTAAGACACTAGCACAACTGTAGACCCAACTTATTTACCTTGGGTATGTTGCTCATGGTTTCTGGATTGCAGCTGTTAGGAGTCTGTCCAGCTTGGAATCTTGTCAAATCAGTATATAGAAATTGTTCTAAAAGCTTTATTTTGTATATTATTCTGATTTGCACTTCAAGCATTTAAACTGCAGCTCAAGAGTTGAGGGAGAATATATAATTGGAAACTTCTGATTGTGTCTGAGTCCAGTATCTTGTTTTGTATGGGCAAAGAGGCAAATTCACAAGAAGTTTCTCCTCTGGATGCTCATGCTCTGCTTAGCCTGAGTACAATGCCCACCAGAAAATGGAAACCAGAAAAAAGGAATCCTCTTACATCTGTGGATCCTCTGTCCCCTTCCCAAATTCGATATGGTCCCTGTTAAATGGCAGAAGGCTGAAGATCTGCTCCTAGTCACTTGTTCAAGTATCTCAGGCCTGGAAGCCTCTGTGCTCTATGAAATAAGCCTTAATTTGCCATGAGGTGAAAAGGGCAACTTTGGAAGCAAATACTAGGTCTTGGCAGGATGCAAAGGAGATGTTGCAGTAGTAGAAGAAGGAAAAAATTTTACTGTAAAATAACTGATCGTGTCAAGTGCTGCAGGTATTTCTCTCCATAGGGGCAGCTATAGATCTGTTCAGAATGATGGTCTGATGGCAGGAGTAGCAGTAATAGCTGTGCTCCTGTGGCATAACCCTTAGCTCTTTGTCTTAGCCTAATGCCAGGGCTGGGTCAGTGGCTTGGCATTAAACTGTCTTGGATGTGGAACATGCGCATCAAAGGACAGTAAAATTTTGGACTTGCCAGAGCCACTTCTCACTATGATCTTAATGCATCTCTTAACTTGCAACTTAAGTATTTGAAAATTAGTGCAATGAAGGTAGGGAAGAAACAACCCAACCAAAAACCCAATTTAAAAACCCCCAAGTGTGAGCTTTCAAATGAAAGCTGCTAGGATTTTACTGTCTTTTCAAAATTTTTTTATTGTTTATATGTCTTATTTATACATAGTAACAGCCATACTTAAAAAGAAGAAAGCCCCTTTGTCTCTTAGCAGAGAATGTTATGCTGCAGTGACTTAACTTACAACTTAAGAGTTTTGCTGCTTTGCTTCTAAGTAGCCATTGTAACATACCTACTCTGAATGTCGCAGAGCTCAACGAACGTGTTACTGTAAAGGTTTATCTTGGAGCATCAGTCCCTGTGTTTTTTCCTCTAAATCTCAGAAGTACTTTTTACTCCGTTCATTGGACTCCTCTCTCCTCTATGAAATTCAGAGCTCTTGTGCATACCCTGAAGAGCATGCTGAAGTCAACCAGCGTAATGTCAGGCTCTGGCAGTGCCTTTTTTTTTGTCATTGTCTGTTTCTGTTCATCTCTGCTGCCTTCCATGGGGCTTCCACATTATGGAGTCCCTGATGGATACTGTTTTATAAGGAAGCACATCGATTTCATTGAGCTTCTCACACGTGTATGCTCAAGTGCTAATCTTACGTCTAAACAAAATAAACTGAATTCTCCAGGTTTCTCAGGATATTGAATTCTGGAGATTGCTTTTTCAGTGGTCAGGATGGCAAACTCCACTCCATTTGGCAGTGTACAGCTGCGTATGTTCTCCTTCAGATGTGTACAGGGGAAGAACAAGGTGCAGTCTTACTTTTAGATTATCTGATGCAAAATTAAGTTGAATTTTGTTTCTTAAGTGTTTCTTCTTGATGGGAATAAACTTGTTTACTTGTAACACTCAGTGACAAGTGTGTCTATATGCAGTGTAGGATGGTAGCTGTGAGGAGAGGAATGGCTCCATAGTCCTGGAGTGGACCACAATTAAAGGTTATTTAATGGTGACAGACACACCAAACAAGGGTCTGCCTCCTGCAGTTCCCGTCTAACTTTCTTAAAATGCTCTTTCTTTCAGCTAACCAGTTGCCAGCAGGCTTAATAACTACAGATGGCCAACAGCAGAATGTTATGGTCTATACAACATCGTATCAACAGGTACTGTATCCCGTCCCCTTCTCTCCCTTCTGCTGCTAAAATTCAAATGCTAATTGAGCTGCCCTGCTCTGAAAGATGAGAATGAATTTTATTTAGTCCTTTGGTGGTGGCTGTCATGACATTCCAACATTGTGACAATTTAAGGCTGCTAGCTGCAATGCAGTTTCAGAAAAGGTGCATTTGAATGTAAGCTTGCATTTTCTTTCTCTAGATCTCTGGTGTTCAACAAATTCAGTTCTCATGATTTGAAGAAAACTTGGGATCTGGGAACACGAGACAGAAAAGCTGTGCAACTCTAATGAAGAGGCAGTTTTAATGACTGGTGAAGAGATTTATCTCTTTGTATATTAAATAGCTGTAATGTAGCTACCTGAAGCTTGACTAATTGAGGTGTGAGTTCTGACTCAAATCTTTTTCATGATGATTTTAAAAAAAAAAAAAAAAAAATTGGATTTTAAAGGTATTAAAGTATTTTTGTTTTGTACAAGAGTTTGTTGCTCTGTATAACTCCTGTATGCATTGTATATTGCAATTTATTACTGTCAGAGATTTGTAGACAGTTTCTTATTTTCATATTGAATCATGTTACTTTTGTAATTCAGGTAAACAGCTGGGTTAATTCATGTTTACCCTTTGAATAAAATTGTAAGGGTAAAGTTCATTTTTGAATGCAAGTTGCCTTTATTATAAAGATTGAGTTGGTCTTGGTTATGTAACTTGTCTTGCATGACAGCATCAAGTAACTTTACATATCAGCATATTTATTGAAATTTTGAAAGGGACTTTTTCCTCATGAAACTAGCAGCTCAAAAGAATTGCTACAACTGTTTTTTATGTAACTTCAGAATTAAAAGTTAATCAAAAACAACTAATGCTCTACTACATTTAGAGACTTAGAGCTTATCAACAGTGTTGATGAAAACACCGACTGTGTGTGATGCAGGTCTTCATTTCAATTTTTTTTTTCAGTTGCATTAACTCTCCTTAGACTTACTGTGATATATTTAAGGTAGTCCTTGTGCTACTGAAATAACTCTTCCTTTTTATGTACGGTTTTTAGAATCCAAAACTTAGAAATTTAAGGGTGTTGGAGGGGGGGGTTGGATTTTTTAGTCCTTGTGGTAAAAGATCTCATTTTAACTTTTTACTGAAGTGTTCTAAGGTTTCTTGTGAGACTGGGAACTCAACTGTGTTAGCGACTTCCTGTGTACGAGCTGCGTGTGTGTGTGTGCGTGTGTGCGCGATTGAAACTTGAACAAGTGATACAAATCTGAAATGGAAGACAGACTTCTAGTTTGCTGTCTCTTTCCTGGTTTTGCAATAAACTCTACCTAGATAATGTAGTTCTGTATATTTAGTGAGCTGTTCTTAGTAACATTGCTGTTTCTTTAATAATCGGGTGGGTAATTTTGTTAGCTGCAATGTCTTAGCCTGTTAGGATAGGGGTGGTGGTTTTAGTAATATATCTTATTCAGACTGAATTTTGGGACTTTTGATATTTTTACTGTTTGCAGTGGACTGAAATGTAATATAATAATTATCTTTCCACATACCTGTCATTAATTTAAGCAAACCACACCTTGAATCTGTTGCTATATAATTTCTTGCTGGTTTTGTCTTTCTTTCTTTTTTTTCTTAAAGAAAAAGTAACAGTTTAATATTGGGAAAATAGTTTAAACTAAGACATCCCAGAAATCTGAAATAGCCAGTTTTTTGCTAAACAAAAATTTTATGTATGTGCAGATTTGAACAGTGTTTCTTACAAATCACCATCATGCTGGCAGAGCCTCTGGAGGCGATCCAGTGTATTCTGTGGCGATTGGGGCGGATGTTCTGGGTTTTGTGGCAGTCTGTCATTCTTCAGCAGCTATGACTAAACAAATGGAGTTTTTCATTAAATGTATAAATGAATAACACAATCACTACATGAGCCCCTTCTGTTTGTATTCCGTTTATTTCAGGCCGTCACACCCTGTTCTTGGTGTTCCCAGATTTGCAATGGAAAAAGCTGTGATCTCAGCTCAGGTGAAGCTAGGAGAGATGTGGCAGTTGGATGTGCAGAAAGGGGGCTGAGGTCATCTGTCACATTTGCTTGAAACCAGCTACATTTTTTCAGTCTGCAATCTCTTCTGTGAATTTAGGTTAGTGTTCTGAGTTTGTGGTTTACACACCATCCTGTGAGCAAAGGAGCTGATACTGCTTTGGTTTTCTTTTTTCTTTTTCTTTCTTCTCCCCCTCAGCCCCCAAGGTCCAGGAACAAAATTGCACCCACCTTGTTTGTTCACTTCCTGAAAATACACATGTAAAAGTAGTAGTACAACACTTGTTTGATCTCTCTCTGAAGCCATTCACCTAATAAAGTTTGCAGGGTACTGTAGTGCTGGTAAAACAAATGTGGTCTGAGGAAATACTTCTCTAATTTATATTAGTAGTAGCACAACCACTGTGGAGTCTTTATTTTTAACAACTGATGTGTTCTCACCTTTCTGTTTGCAAGCACTCAAAGTCTAAAAGTAGCTTACACCCAAACCAAGAGTGACTACATCTGTTTCTACAAAACTGCCATCTTTCAATCTCTGAATGTTTTGTTTGAACTAACAAAACCCCAAATTGAGCTTAAGCTCAAGACAGCTGTGGCAGCCTATTCTAAAACTTGGAGAAAGGCTGCTTGAAAAAGCAGTGATGTTCAAAGATCTTTTTCCAAGCACAGTGACTTCTTTTAGGTGTCTTTCCATGACACAAGCAAATTTTACTACATTAATTTTTTTAATGAATTTCCGTGTGACTTGATCCTTTTGATCTTTCTTTATAGAGTGCTCATGATGTCTTTAAAAGCACAGAAATATTGTTACCTCTAGTCAAAATGCAGTTATGAGAAAAGCTAATTTAGATGGCGTTCTTCCACATCCCATTTTCATTACAGGCTTAATGGGTGCTGAGGCTCTGCCTTCACCAGTCTTTCTGATGTACGTATGCATCTTTACTATTTTATTTATTCCTCTGTTCTGATCTCTACTGAACACTAAAATCTGTGGCTGGATGGTGTAGCCAGAACATGGAGGGAGTCTTGGCATGACCCATGCTTATCTGCCTGTAACTGAAAATCAGTCTGAAGTATGTGGGCTATACTTCAAATAGCCATCTTCCTTGAACTGCACCCTGGATACGCCGTGAATCATGTCAGATTAGTAGATCGTCCCTATTGCAGAGTTTCAAGATGATGCTCATTAACATGTTGTAAGCATATATAGGTGATTTCTCTCTTGCCTTTGGCAGGAGAGGGAGGATATGGGCACACGCACAGGAGATTCCTCGATGCAAAGCAACACGGAGAACAAAGGGGAGAGCCAAGGGCTAGTATTTTCCCCAGCACCTTGCTGTTGTGATAAGAACTGGCAGCAGCCTTGCTTATAGCTATAAAATTCTTCATTTTGCAGAGCTTTGAACGTGATTAATGTTCCAGTTAAGTCATGTAGACTCGCTGCTTCAGTTATATTTACAGTGATAAGACAACTTGCTTTTAAGTCGCTGCATTCCCAAATGGTGCAGGCTAGATTTTTTTCAGTTTTGATTTGTATCGAGTAAAGTAGAAGAAAGGAAGTTTTTCACTTAAATTTGAAGTGAATTTTCTTACATTTATAGATGAAAAAAAAAACCCTGTGTGTAGATTCTAAGATGAATAATGCTATAGGGAAACTATATTTTATATAGCGCACAAGCAGTCCTATAGGAAGACCTTAAATATTGATAAAGTGGAAAATAGTTACTTTTATATTCCCCTTTCAAATTGGTTTGGTGAAAAGAGCAGTGGTGGAAGGATGCCTTTTGGCTGTGGTACAGTTTAATACATGTACCGAGTTGAAAACATGGACCAATTTCTCCTCTTTGAAAATAAGAGATGTTGTTCTGGCATAATCATTCATACTTCCACCTTTAAAAGGCTGAAAAAATTATACTTGAGCAACCGAATATTGATCTATTTATCTATTGATTTGTAAAATTGGCATGGTAATGGACTGCAACATCACCTCTGACCCTCAGTGTGTAAAAATTTAATGGAAAGCTCTCTAGAAACGCGGTGCCAGTTCAGCTTGCGCTGACATCCAAGGCCAAATGCTCTTGGGAGTGAGGGCACAATAGTTTCCAAATCAGTGCCAGCTGCACCGCGTTTATTAAATTGCAGTCTCCAAGTATGGCTGTGGAGGTAGTGAGAGAGGCGAGGCACTGCACAACAGCTCGGAGGGAGTCGGCTAGGCTGGTTTAGGAAATCTTCCAGGCAAATTGCCAGGGTCATTTCCTGGAATATCTTCTTGCAGCACACTGGGCCAGAAGATCCATTTATCAGGGGCAATGGTACCTGATTTGCTTTTGTATGGAAGGAAACTATTGAGGGTTTAAATCTGCTGGGCAGAGGAGCATCTTTCAGGCTGCTAATCTAACCTGTGTGTGCCTAATACTTCATCTGGCCCAGCCTGTATAACACCAGAGTCGACAGCTGACTTTTAGGACAGAGCTGCCTGAAAAGGTTTGGTTTCTGGCTAACAAACCACAGTAATACGTGGCTCAGTGCTCACCCCCAGAAGGCACATCAATGATGGTGCATTGCAAACAAAGTTTTAGCAGCAATTTATTCTTGGTCAGAATCAGCTCAGGCTTGTCGTCCTGTTCAGAGGTGCAGACCACTTTTCTCCAGAAATCACTGGGCGCAGTGTGACTCCTCCCCTGCCATTGGGTAACGGTGACTAAAGCACTTTCCTGCTGCTCCTAAGCTATTGTCACTGTGCGTCTTCTCTGTGCACAATAAAAGAACAAAAAAGGGTTGTTTCCAACCCAAAGCGGTTCCCTGGCCTGCCTCGGTACACAGCTCTCCCCAAACTGAGTGTAGGGCACGGACCTAGCCACTGGTCATAGCTTGCCCAGTGGCAACTACAGCAGAAAACTAATTTCTTAGCTGTATTTGCTTCAGGTATGTCTTTAGCATGACAGAAACAAGAGAGGCAAAACTCTAGAAGACTCCTTTTTTTAAATCCACAAAATAATTCCGTAAATAAAGGCAGGGAATCTGTGATGATGAGGGTGTCTCCCCCGCAAAAGAACACAGGACCAGGGACAGCAAATAAAAGCAACTTCCAACAGCACACCTAAGACTCACAGTTCAGATATAAATGCTGTGTCACTTGAAATACAACTGCAGCTAAAACGTGGTCAGCATTTTATGCAACAGCAAATTAGGAGTAGTATATACTATTTTTACTCTTTGCACCCTATGTGAAGACAAATAGTCGATCCCTCAGAGCTTATGCCTCGTCACTGGCGAGAAGAGCGTAGCGCAGATACAAGACTTCAGGACGCACAGGTTTGTTTCTGCAGCATCCAACTCCTCAGCCCCGACCATGAAATCCAAACCCACCCAGATGCCCGTGTTCCCTGTGTGATGTAACACACCGGGAGAAGCGATCTGGTGAGCAGGAAGCTGTCGGGAGCCAGCTGGTAGGAAAAGCTAAGCACTGGGGGAGAAGGGAAAGGATCCGAAATCTCACCTCTAGCCAGCTGGAAAGCAGTTCTGCTACGGGGAAACAGGATCTGTCACTTTGGGATGGGAATGGGGAGACGGCAGGGCCTGGGGAGTGTTCCATCAGAGGATGAGTCCGCTCTTCAAAACCAGCAGCAAGTCACGTTTTACAAGCCCAGCAGCTGAAAGTTGTACAAAGTGTCTTGAGTGGTGCAGTGAGATCAAGTTCTGTACGCGCCAGAAAAAGAAATCTAGACAATAACTGGCAATTTTGTGTTATCTGGCTTGACAGCTCCCATGTTGCTTCGGATGGCTCAGCAGCACCTTTCTACAGCAACTTCATCTTCCTAATCTTCTAATAGCAGCGCAAATACATGAAATGGATTTCAGTAATTAATCTTTGAATGATAACTACATAAATAGTCTGCATTTATACCAAAACATTTATGCTTGTAATGTAAGTAGCTGAAACCTCATACTGTTAGACTGAAATTTCAAGTCTTTTTTCAAGACGGTCATTTCAGAGTGTTGCTCCCAGGCTCTGAATATTTTCCTTCCAGAGCAGACAGCATATCAAGTCAACATATAGAAGTCTCCTCCCTACTCAGGCAAAGTGCAATGAAGAAATAATTACAAAGCTGCTACTAACAAGAAAAAATTGGGGTACTTCTTAATGCTGCTCAAAGTTACGAGCTACTACTTGTACCTAATAACTTTTCGTTAAAGGAGAATTATCAGCACTGCATCTAAGAGAGAGGTGGTTATCCTAAAAGGCAGTTAACAGTCCCTGGCAAAAACCATTTAAATGAGAGAATGCAAACAAAAGAACTAGGATGCAAACAAGAACAAGGAACTGGTGGCTTTGAACCTCCTAAGACGGCACGTACCCAGTGTGCCTCTTTCAAGAATCACTTGGAAATAATTGTATATTGATAACTTCCATGTGTGGATAAGAGTATTTTATAATTTCATCAGATACAAAAATAACTCTCTGAACACTACTTACCATTTGGAATACACTGAAATGCTTCATCTCTTTTTCTCTTTGAAGATGCCATATCTGAGCCTTAATTTTCATTTTAAGGAGCTGCTGTACCAACTTAGCAATTATGTCATATATTAAAAGCAGATGCTTGCGAGAGGCAAGAACCTCCTCAATAAAACAATGACAGCAAACCAAACCCAGCCCCTGCCTTACCACTTGTCCTCGGGGGCTGGCAACGCGCCTGGGCTTGGTTCATGATTTTTATCGTAGCGGTATTTCCCAAACCAGGCATGAGTAAGGCCAGAGCAGGGGTCTGCAGGTGCAGGAGAGAAATTCTTTGGCTGAGACCCGACACCGTTCATTCACACTGGGATCTAGCTGCGTGCCCAGCCTACCCCCACTGCCCCACAGCATGCCGTGGGGATTTCCTCTCTCTCTCGAGGAAGCATTGGAGGTGCAGTATCCTAAAGACTCATTCAAGGAGCAAGAGGATCCATTTTAAGCTCATCTTCCTGCTATTTTCAACTAACTTCTGGAAATTCTAATAAAAGGTATCTCCACTTAGCTTCAGATCAATGGAAAACGCACAAAAATGTTTTTCACAACTACTAACAGGAGGGAGAACACATTAACTGCTAACACAATGCCAGCAGTTAATGCTCCACCCCGCCTTGGGAATCTGGAAATGCTTCGGTGTCAGAACTGGAAGCCACAGAGTAAAAGCCCTGGCCTTTAGCTCGCTAGAAAATGTTATAAAAATACACCAGGAACCAGCTAACGCTATAAAGAAAAAACACAAATTCTGAGTTGTTTTTAAGATAAATTCATACAGCAAATTTAAGTCTGCCTTAAAGAGAAAATAACTACTCTGAGAATCTTATTAACAGGAAGAAAAAAAGCACAATGAGGGAATTCTTCATTGACTGTTTAGATTTTCCCAATTGTTTCCCACTAATGCAAGGATCACAAATAATTGAAAATAAGACAACAGTTACTCTATTAGAATAGCTAGGAACACAAGGAAGAAATCGATTTGGAGCAGACAGCTTTCAGCAGTTTCTTATGTGAAGTCTCTTAAGAGGTCTAGAAACAATTCTGTCGACCTTTCGGTTCACTTGCTCCTCTCTGCTCCCCTGCTTCTAGAAACATGTGTTACTTATTTCCCCAGGAGTTCCCCACAGTCAACTGCCATAAAGGTTTAGCAACTTGCCTTAAGACTGTGACATTTTGAGCGGAGTTGGACACGCATACAATTCATATCCTTACCAGAAGCCTTCTGAGCACGGCAAGTGCTCACTCATATCCCATCCTTTTAACCAACTGTAACAAAGCAGTACCAAACTCTTTGCCACTCATTTTGAACAGCAGCAACGTAACCGCTGTATAGACAGGGGAAGTCATTTCAAAATTTCATTTCAGAGGTGCAGCCAGCAAGCTGCATGGCACAAAGGCATGGAAGGGGGCAGGGTAACGGTGAGAGCAGAGCAACTGCAGGAGAAGGTGGTGGGGGGGGAGGAATTGGGGAACCTCAACTAAGAAGAAAACCCATGAGGTAACCAAGAAGTAACTTGGGAAATAATTTTTATGAAAGACTAATACTCAGTATTTCAATGCTTATCACTAAACACGCTTCCCCCCCTCCCCGCCCCCGACAAATATACTCACTGTCTTCTCTGTATCATCCCCTTTTCTAAAGAAGGGCAGAAATTTGAAGTTTGTACACGTACACCTTTGAAAAAGCAGACATACACTTCAGTGTTTACAATGCGTTTGATAGGACAACCACTTTATTACAAAGAACAAACAATGCTTCGAAATAAGACTGGTCAACTTGAATTGTACAAAATGTCAGTTTCCTTGCAGAGGTCATTAAGTAACAAGCTGTAAGACTAAGTTCACGTCAAATTCGCTATCCTGAAATATCAGATAACAACAGTAATACTTATTTATCTTCAGAGTTTATGGCATGATCATGTGCTCTACTCCAAACTACATTCAAAAGATATTGCTATAATTACTTTGAAAACACAAAGTGTAGGTTATTGTTCACTTCATTTCCACTTTCACATGAACATTCTTAAGGTGAAGCTATAGCGGTGTCTGCCGTAACTGGCACGACTGTCCTATACTTACACAGTCACAACTTCCCTAAGGAGTTTAGTAAACCTAGACATTTCTACCATATGGACTCTGTCATCTGATAGATTTCAGCTTCTGTTACATGTCCTTTAGCAATATATGAAATAAATGAGTAACACAGATTCTCAAAGAGCCGATGTCAACAGTCTTCCAAATGAATTTAAAATCGAACAATCAGTATTTGTCTGATATCTAGTTGATAGGCAAACAGGTGGGATTTAGACGTTATAAATACAGTTCTAAAAACAGACCACAAAGTGTATTTTACAGCGTGTACCACAATTTCATTTTAAAGTAAAACTGTGAGGAACTGAAGATTTGCATATGATCACTATTCAACATCACCCAACTTGGACAAAGAAGAGAAAGTGACATCTTATGTCAAGTCAGCTGAAGAAAGCACACTTACAAGGAAATTATACTTTCATTAAAAACGCCACAGTTTTACCCTTTGGTAGTTGTGACATACCCACTGAAAAAGAAATTGTGCAAAGCATGTGAAACCAAGTGCAAAAAAACTCCACCCAGACATACCCAACAGATTTTATTCTTAAATAACAACTCTACAATCACAGCTATCAACCAACAAAATCAAAGCCACAAGTGTTTTCTCTAAAGGCTTCTTTCACAGTACTAATAAGAAAAACCAAGTTCTATTCTTCTAGTTAACAGCTCATGTGCACGGTATTTTAGTTATCAGACAGTCTTGGTAGTGAGATCATACCTGATAAAATGGACCATTAAAACACAAATATTTTAAAGCCAGTTAACTTCAGGAAAAGTCCTATACATTCATACTATAAACACTGTTTAAAGTGAATCTGGGATATCTGTCATTGTCATAAACACAAGATTCTTCTCTGGAGTAAAACCACGTGTATTACTCTTGTGTCACAATTAACACTATTATAGTGATTTATGGTCCCCAGCACTTTTTATATGCTATTATAGCATGTGATGTGTTGTGGTAATTAAGGCTGTATCAGCACTTCCATTACAACCCTGATTTTCAGGGTAGCTAAAACTTGGCTATTAAATCTGCTCTGGGATACTTGAGCTGTTAAATCTGTAATATTTTAGTGATATTTCTCCCACGAAACCAGGCACATAATTTCTTTTAGTTTATATATTTACAAACGCTCTTAAGACAAATTTAACGGGCAGAGGCAAGAAATTCTACCTTGATGTATATAGTCTTTTGGCATTCGGGGCAAAATTAAAGTGCAAAGTATAAACATCATTGCACAGTAAATAATTTAGATTTTATTTTAAAATAAATCTTATTTAGGTGCCTCAATCTATTCACCTAGTGACCTTGTCCAACTCAGCCATCTTCCTCTACACTTTGGTAAACATAGGTTTATATATAGATACATAAATAGCATTTAAAATGTTTACCTTTATTTCACTACTGTGAACAAATTTTTTCTTTTAGCATAGGAATGGATCAACCTATTCCTAGAAGTAATGCTTGTTGAATTTATCAGCTAGCTAGTTAATGTAAAATGATGCATAGTAAAAGGGAGATACTGAACTTGATTGGTAGAATATACTGGTAAAGCAAACAAGCACTTAAGAAGATTAACTGGAATAAATATGTTGAAAGTCGCCATATAATATGTGCAAAATTGCTTACCATGTATTCTAAACTTTGGTTAAAATTTTCAGATTGAAGTTTTACAGAAACATTATGGAAGCAACACAAGTGATTACAAACACAGGAATGAGGTAAGTTATTATTAGTGCAAAAAGCAAGCATATGCTAAAAGCAAAGCATATGGATTTAAAAAAAAAAAAGAGAATGAATCTCATGGAAGTTTTAATACAAGACCAGAAAGGTCTCTTGTAAACATTGGTATTTACAAGTTTAAGATTTGTACAACTACAAAAGGATATTTCTAAATATTAGTAGTGCATTTACAATGAATTTTTTTTTTTTTGTAATAAGAGAAATGACTAAGTTTATCTTTTTCCTTTTAAATCTTCAGGGGATATCTTTCAAGATTAAGATATTTGTTACAAATAGTAGAAAAATCATTTCTTTACAAAAAAAGTATATATTAAAATATTTATACATTTTAAGTTACTATATAATAACTGGAAGTTTTTGCCTTGTACTCAGGCACCACAATGAAGAATGTGGTAATAAGGAACTGAAACCAAACCGAATTTGCTCATATACCAAATCTTATGAATCATCTATGCAAGATCTGTAGCAATCATGGGGACTCTACCTCAAATACTACTGCATGTGCCAATTTTTTTTTTTTTTTTTAGTTTGAAACTGTGTATTTTTTATATTTTAACTATCACTACCAAAAAGAGCTACTGGACAGAGTGTGTACTCTACCCCACCATCTTCAATATAATTTCTATATGGTACTCATACCTGAGCAAGGCTGTATAATGCTGATGTTTCAAACATAAAAAAGGTTATATATTTTTAAGATAAAAACAATGCAAAAATAAAATATTTGTAGCATTTACAAATAGTACAAGAGTTACATTAAACACTACATTCGAAACTTGAGATTTATTATGTTGTTTCTACTTTGAGCTTGATGTTTTCATATCTGCAAAAAGAAGGAGACATTGTTAAATGTTTCATAATTTCACACTGTGTACATGGTCAAACACTTTCAAAACAACTACTGTTTCAGAGTTCTGGGACACAAATCACGGTCAAAACCCTTGCCAATTAAAGGGTTAAAACAGCATCGGAATACTAAACATTACCGAAGACAACTTCTTCATTGTTGCTCTCCATCTTAGGAAAACATGTTAAAAAACAAGCAGTAGTGTGTTCAACAGTTCGCTTTCAACCACACCCTATGGATCACAGCCCACAAACTGAGAGGTCAGCTAAACCCATGCAACAGTTCATGGCTCCCTGAGGGGGTGGGCACACTCCCCTCGCTCTGCTGTTCCCAAACTTTCTCCATGCTCACAGGACCTCTTGCTCAGCAAAGCCAGCTCCCAACCAGCAGAAAGCTAAGCCAGAAACGGGAAGGAGTGGGATGAGCAGAAAAAACAGCAAAACTTCTTATTTGAGCCCCTGGGTTGGCTTACTTAAAAGGTGAGCCAGAACTCATCAGGCTAAAAACTACTCTTTATTTTCAGTGGATCCATTCCCATCCCCAACTCATCATGAACCTGTACAAATTCAAGTGCAGGGACAAGATGACAAAACCTCTTCTGGCTGTAATATGGACTTTAAAGTGTGTATGTGTCACAAAAATGCACCTTACCAAAAATTTTTCTAATAAGGAGCAGGGGAAAGACTGAAAAAAACCTGATTACACCCATGCATGTAACTGGATTATTTATTAGAATGATAAACTTTTGAGCTGAAGCGAAGCCCAGGGAAATCAGAAGCTTAGTAGGCTTTTATTATTTGAGGGACTGGGTAAGACTCAATAACCAACATTTCAGTACTTGCTTGTCTTTGGTTGTGAACAAATATAAAATTTTTAAAAAAATGTTATGCCAAATTCAACAACTAAATTTTCTTAAAACTTCTATATGGAACAAAACGACATGTCAAGAACTTCACACGCACTGCTGAGAGAAGTGTTAGTTCTACAGACGCAATACGCCATTTTCTCTGCCACAGCTACAGCCCATTTAAATGCTGCGTCTGACACTGACTTTACCTTGAAGCCATCGAACTTGCGTGGCTGGTCCGTATCCTCTCTCATTCTTTGCAGAAATTCTGAACACTATTGCAGGTCGGGAAGTGTAATCAACATGAGCATTTGAAAGCTGGGCAGCAGTCACTATACATGATGTTTTAAGACCACAGTATATTCTCATAAACACAAGCTGACTTGGATTTTCCTGTAATTGTGTGGATCGGATTGCTAAGTAGGCAGAATATTCTAAAATATTTCCAGACGGTGAAGCAGGAGGCTCCCAAGAAAGATGAATACAGTCTACACTCTGAAGAAAAAGGGAGAAAACGTGATAGTATGTAGATAACCATTAGATACTTGAAAATATATAAATAAAAATATGAAAACACAAAAAACCCTCTAAAGATCATCTGAAAATTCTAACCTAGCATCATCACTCTTTGGAGGTAAAGATGTGTCTTTTGACTTTTTTTTAAAAAGCATGGTAAACCCTTCCAGATTCAAGGATGCAGAAAGAGAATCACGGGGAAACAATCAGATGATTAAGATGTGAATCTGGTAATGTGATCATTAAGTCTTAAAATAATTCTTTGTAGCAAATTTCTTAAAGAATATTGCATTGAGCAGAATTAACCAATTAAGCATTTGACACTATTTTATATAACAATTTCTACTTGGAAAAAACCCCCAACAACAAACCAACTAAAACAAGAGTTCTGAGATTAAGCTTGTGATCAGAATTTTATACATCAGAACTAGAATTACCTATATTTCTCACCTTGGTGATTTTGACTGTTGAAGGAGCCCCAGGAAAACCTGGAATGCAAGTTTTGAATTCACTGACTTTACTGAAAGGCCCAACACCACAACCATTAATTGCAGCAACTCTGAACCTGTACACTGTGCCTGGAAAAAGATCCTGTTTCTTAAGTAATCTGTAGTCTGGTACATCTGCACTTTCCATCTGAAAATAAAGCAACATTTGTGTTAATTTTTAAAACATTCTAAACACAATTAGCCTAAAAAAATATAAAGTGGGTAGCGATAAACTGAGATTAGTAAGTTTAATTGAAACTGAACATCAATCTAACACTTTTAAACTTAAATGAGAATTTACAAGTAGGTTCTGACTGAGGCACTAGCTCACCTTAAAACAGCTGATCGAAGAAGCAATATGAGACTACCTCTCTAACCAAAAAAACCCCACCCATTTTTCAGTCATTTAAATTGAACTGCACCTTTTGGTCATTTTTACTCGGGAAAGTAAAAGCAAAGTAGCATTTCCAACTGCATAGCTTATGATTTAATTAGTATACTCTTCTGTTCTAAAAAATATTTTTCTTTCAAAAACAGTTATTCCTATAGTGAGGAGTTGCAATTTGATGTGTAGGTAATCAAAATGTTTTTAAAGAAACGCACTGTAAGTTACAAATAGTAAGAAATAGGTTTCTGAAACATTATGTGCTACTGTACTTCCACGTTTAAAATATTCATTGATGCATCCTTGAAACTTCCAATGGAACTATTTTCTTTCTGAATAATGTATAAGAAATCACAATCAATGTAAACACTGTAAAAACTAAGATGTGCAATATTTATAGTGAAGTGCTTTCTTTGAAAGTGTTCTGTTCTTTCGTTTGTCTCAAGAAAACATATACCCATTGTTTTTGGTTTTAGTTTGCTAGGACATCATTAATTTACACTTTCACCATCAAAACTGCAACATTCTTGCAAGTTTCACACATACCGCATTTTCATATATAAATTTGCATTTTCGTATATAAACTTACACATGCAACAACATTAAGCTAGAGAAATCTAATACAAAACCCACTACAGTTCCATATCTAGTCTTTTTAAACAGCCTTGCCTATGTCTTATTAGTATCTTTAACGATTTATAAGCAAAGATTCTGGAAACAGAGAATAAACTTTGATTGAAACATTTCAATGCTGTACTGAAATAACATACTGAAAAGCTGGGTGTTTTTAATTTTTAAGAATTTTTACTGGTTTGAAAGTTCACTAAGTTTAAAATTGTTTCCAAAGGCTAGAAATAGAAATACTGAAAGAATTAGCAATAGCACAAGAAGAAGTTCCATATTATCATACAAGAACAACAGATGAAAATTAATCTGATTTAGGAAATAGTAAAAAAAGGTGAGCAAAATGCAGGAGGAACTACATGGTCACAAAATACAAAACTCCTATAAGCACCAGATTCGCTGCAGTATCAGAAAATCCCACATTTTGTTGTCAACCATATGAGCAACAGATTCCAAAATACATATGTGCAAGTATGTCAGAGAAGAATTAGCAGCTACCTTGTTAGAGATGCTCAGTGTTTCCTCTGGCAGCAAGTAGAACTGGCTCACCACAGCGCTGCTGTTCTTAAAAATTCCAACATCATACCACTGCCGGTCTCTTGTTTTCACTGGTGCCATTTGTCTTTGTGGAGTTTTCTAGTATTTGAAGAACAAGTTATGCAGACTACCCATACTTCAACGTAATGTAAAAAAAAAAATGTTAAGACTCTAGTATATGTAAGAGACAACCCCCTTTCATACCAGTGTTACTTTCTTATACTTCAAAGGAATATGCATATATTATTAAAATATTGTTCAAAACCAACTGGTTCTTATACATTGATTTAGACACAGTCCATCATTTAAAAAAAGAAAACCAAACAGTTGGGATGTCACCTCTGACACTCTAGTTTAAACAGGGAGGGGAAGAAGTTTAAAGCTGTAGAACTAGGTGTCTGTAGCAGCATGTAGTTGTGAGTTAATTTCACTCAGAGGTCAAGAAGTTTCACAACAAGATCCAGTATCAGTAGCTCTACCTGGGATTCAGCTATACCTCAGCCCCAAACTGCTGCTGCTGAACTCGCTTGTAGCTGAGAACAGGGCCTCTCCTGTGGCATGGGGCAATGGTGGTGGAGGGCACGGGAGCTGTTCCTGACTGACCCAGAAAGACAAACCGTCTTTCTTGCTTGTCTCCAGGCACCAGGGAGGGTGCTTGCATGGTCAGTGTGCCCAGCACAGGCAGGCCATGATCCTGTCAGCATGGAAAAGGGGCAGGAGTGGCGGCTGCTATTGGCAAAAGCACCCCCAACCCTTTAGTAGCAGCTGCTTCTTCCCATCCTTAGCTCCTCTCTTTGGTGGCAACAGTGGCACCTTGGTTTTGTGTATTAAGTTGTAAGCAGGTGAAATAGGAAGCATTTACTTTTTCAGGCAGTATTTACAGCTTGCATAGCCAGTCCCCATCACCTCTAGGGAAAAACATCAAGATGTCAGTTTAGTTATGTTTCAAACCTATAGATCAGCAGCTAACACTAGTCTGATCTAATACATACTTCACTTTAAATTCAGTTGTGCATACAGAAAAACATTTTACATTTGCACATCATGTAGCAGAGAGACTATTCCACTGTGCCAGTCGATAAAAATGATTCAACAGCTGAAACACATACTTGGATCTCCTCCCAACTACACAACTGCTACTTAGACTCAAATCAAACCCACACAATGCAATTAGTTTTACAACAGAACTGTTTACCCCTGTATTATTCACTTCAAGCCCTAAATATACATTGTTTTTCTTTCAGAGATATAATTAAGGGAAAACAGAAGAGCCCTCACAACTAATCAACAGAACAATAAATACAGCAGTTTGATTATACTTTTTCAGACTTACAGAGGAGTGTGAATCATTTGTCTGTCCAGTATTGACCCTTGTCGAAGGCATGATATAAGCAGTTTCAGCAGCTAGAAACAAAAAGTTATATTTAAAAAGCTTAAGTGATATGAAAAATTTAACACAAAGTCCACAGAGTATGAAAGTTGACCTTAATAGCCATTTACACGTGTCTGTTGCAAAAGTATGTCTCAGACTTCTTTTGCATGCAGTTCTATTTATAACACGAACAACTAATTTTGGCTGGCGTCATATTCACAAAACAATTTTAAGAGCCTGGCATTGCAGGCTGCTACAGATAATACAGACAGAAGGCAGGACTCAGAAAATTCTAAAAAGTGACAGAATTATGAAATCAATATGAAATATTTGTGAACAAATAATCTAAATACCAGATTGAGGCACATACTGATGACATTGTATGAATAGTCTAAGCATGAAATCTTAATCTGAATGCATTGTTTCTGACATCAATACAGTCTGAATTCTGAACATGAACAGTTAATCTTTAAACAATCCTAACAAATGGGAAAAGAACATTTATTAAATTTAAAACGGAATCTTAAAAAAAAAATTAAAGCACGTAAGCACTAAGCACATGAGCAACGCAAGGGAGTATTAGTATTCTATACCTGTGTTTCTGGGTTTTGCTTTGAAAATACAATACTGTTTGGTAAAAATTACACTTGTCACACAGTGTCAATAAGAGAATACAGTTCTTTAGTTAACACTCAAAACAATAAAAAGCACAGCCTGTTGATATTCACGAAAAACAAAACTTGAAAAACTACCAATACGTTTGGTTTCTGCGTTGCTGCTTATTTCAGCCATTTCAAGCACACTGTGAAGAGGTCACCACATTTGACTAGCGGTGAGGCAGCCACATGAACTGGCCATATTTGTTACAGAGGTCAATTGTTTAAAATCAAAACCATCTAAGGTTACTATTTGTGGTCTTTTGCTGACTAAATAAACAGACAAACACTGAATGAAGGCAAATGTGCTAAGGGCACCAAAACTGGCTGCCACTGCTATTTAGAAAATGGGCTTCTGCATAAATGAAGATTCAAAGGACATTTCACTTACAGGAAACAAAGTGGTTTACAAATGTATAAAAGGAATATTCTGATTTTAAAAGATGTTTAAATCACAGCAGAGATCATCCAGGCTGCCCAAGGTCCTCAATGCCCAAAGCCCTATCTCAATCCCAGGTACTAGTCAAGATGGGAATCCCACCACACTAGAGGAACTCTGATGGCCTTAGATATATATGGCTCAAAATACAGTATGTGAAACACATTTCAAACCTTCAGATTTTGAATTGAATGTTGTTAGTGAAGTTTCATCTTTAACAACTGCCCCATTTGTACTTGATGATTCAGTTTTAACAGCCTGCTGGGTTACCATAGTTTGTGTGCTGGAGACAGTACTGGATACAGAAGCATCAGGATTTACAGTTCGTTTGTCCAAGTCATGTAATTCACCTACATTTGCTGAAGTCTGAGGACCTTAAAAAAAGAAAATATTAACCAGAATTCAATACTGGTAACACCTTACAAATCTCAACTTGATCTAATAGCTTTAGTTTCATATAAAACCAGAGTTTAACTCAGATTTAGGTTAGAATAGATCTGATTATATTAATTGCTAATGCTTTCTTTAGGTATATAACTTAACAAGAGTCTGTCAGCATAGTCATAAATAGATATATGTAAACACTTGTATTAAAATGGCAAGCTTACTATTCTATATCTATTTGGTTACGAAAGGATTAATTTGGAAAAAAAATCCTAATATAAAGAGAAAGTATCTACACAAACCAGTATCACAGATTTGTAACAATCAACTTAAGATTAACCACTGTGGAAGTCTGTTTCTCACTTAGCACTAAGAACCAAAATTTCCACGCTGTACTTAAGTTCCACTGTGAAGAAAATGAAAATCCAACAACCTATACATTACATGAAAGTCAAATATAAACAGATCAGGTGATTGAGCCTGGATTCACCACACTGAACTTAAGGCACTTCAGAGAAATGCCTAAGTCAGTGCCTAGTCATCTTCTATTTCCTCTACAGTCACAGAGAAACATGCTCCTCTCTACATCGCCTAAAATTTTACATCGGTTAATAGCTTTTCACTATTAACAGTCAGAAGTAGTGTCAAAGAGAGCCTGGAGTTACTACCACCTTAATGTTGTAAAATGAATCTGGTCCTGTCAGTCTGTTCTTTGATGTTAAAAAGGACTATTTATGTTTAGAGAGACACATCATAATAATTAATATATTGACAATTTCATGTCCCTTGCAACACTTCAAACAACTTAAGATTTCATTTTTCCTCATATCTTCTAAAAATATGTATAGTAGTAACTAGCGCAAGTTGTTTTTTTTTAAACTACAAAGGCCTCTAAAATAATTTTAAATTGCAAGACAGAAATAATCTTATTTTATGTTTATGAGATGAATTTTAACTCTCACTTTTAAATTAATTTTTATTCTATAGTCATCTTACTTGAAGTACAAACAGGCAAAAGAGAAGGGGCATTTGATTCTTTGAATCCTGTAGCATCTGCATGGTTTTTCACAGTCTCCTGTGTAATCTTGTTTTCAGGTGCTGCAACCTTTTCTTTTCCTTCTACTTTTAATAATGAGTTGGATGAAAGGGAAACTTGGACCTAACCAAAACAATACATTTGTTAATGTTTAACTGCAAAGTTCAGAAATTTCAGTTGCAAACATGGCATGAAAATGCTTGCTCGAAAACATCAAACAAAAATCCTCCAACAAATCCCCCTACCACTTTAAATTTAAAACAAGAAACCAACCTCACAATCCACCTTATCTTAGCCATTACAAAACAAAGACTCAAACTCTAAGTTGACTTGGAAGTGTCCCTGACACATACTAAAATTTATCTGAGAGCGAGCTCACATTCTTACGGTATTACATGGAAGTGCATTGATGCATACATTTAGTCTACTGGGGGGACTTGAGGGGATGGGAAAAATCACAATTACAGAGGCTTTCAACCTTTGCTCTCCTGCCATGTACCTAAGGTATTTCTACTGTTAGTAAAACTCATAGTACTTCTACGTGTGTTTTCTACAAGAATACATGATGGATCCCATACAGACCTGAGGCCTTACACAACTAAGAAAAGGTCTAAATTTCTAAAAATGTGATCCTTTACCCAGAGTTTTTCCTCCCTTTTTCTTTTAAATTGGCAAAACAGTGGAACATGTACAACTGCACAACCAGAATAGACAATAATTGGGTTTATACTGTAGTAGGAACCTACAACTAAGCAGACTAGCATAAAAACACTAACAAAGAAGGAATATGCCTTATCCTTTTTGCCTCCCACATTAATTTCACCAACATTCTAAGGATGAATAGTATTTCTACTGGTATCAGGCTCCCAGTTAGCATTCTGGAATACAGCTGCAGTTTCCTTTCTGCATTACCAGGAAAAAGACTTTAAAGACTGTCTGTCAGTCATAAAAGTAAGAAGGATGTAAGAAAACAGACACAACTACTTCAGCACGTGTCTTTTTTTGTTGTTTGATTTTGGATTTTTTCTAAGGCCTAAAAAGTATGCAGGGACGTTTAAAACTGAGAAAGTGTTTTGGCAGTTCTCTCGCTTCCCACTTTGCCACTTAGGCATTTTTCAGTTTACACTTACGTTATTAGGAATGACATTATTTGTTTGGCTGGGATGATCCACCTTCATTTCTGGATAAGGGACACTAGGCAATGATTGTGGACTTTGATGTAGAGAAGAGCCACCTTTCAGGTAAACAAAAGCAAATTCCAATCAGTTACATAAAACTTAATATTATGTTGGTTGGAACCTATTCCAGTAAGCAAGAGGGAGACCCGAGGTTGCCTGAAGGAAGACTTGGTTGTAAGACTGAAATGAAACTGCGTGGCCAAACAGTCAGATAAAATCCCTTCCTCACTGCTTCTTTTCTCAAATAGTGCCCAGCGCTGTACAAATATCTTTGTATTCAGATAGCTGGCCAAAACTGACAGAGACAAGTTAAAGCTGAATTTTCCATAATTATGATACACACATTTTGGGAATAACCAAAGAAATAGGGTCTCTCTCTCAAAATGACTTTTTTAAAAAAAAAAAAACAAACTCGTATTAATTACTTATGCAACCCTCTACTCTACCTTTGCACAAACATTAGCGTAATGTGATCTGACTACTACCTTGTGAACTCAGCATTGATGTCTCAGGAACCCCAGTACCAGGTATTCCAGCCACTGACGGCACTGGTGAGTCAGCATGTAATTGAAGAAGATATCCTTCAACTGTAGGTACTTCATCCCATTTCACTTGAAAAGAGTTGGTTGTAGCTCTAATCAGCTGTACTTGTGATGGTGCTGGAGGTTTCTCTACAAGAAGCCAATAAAACGCAGATGGCATGTTTGAAATTGCCCTCCTTTATCAGTTTAAGAAATATCTCTATAATGCAAGCAAAATCAATAGCTCCTTTTTCACTTATGTACAATATATACCAGATTCAACAAGAAACAGTTGTCAAAGGTGGCAAGTCAAGTCAGAGAATAATAACGTGTCATTCTAGAGTGTTCAAAAATGCTGAAGTTTTGATGCTTTCTTTGGTTTTTTCTTTCCTGGCTCTTCTGCTGCCAGTAAGTCTTTGGGTTGTATATATATCATTATAGGGATTATAGAGATAAGAAAGCGTCTTCCTTTTCTAAAAGGCTGCACACAGCTCTTTGGCTCCTAAACCTTTACATATTCGTGGAAAGGATTCACAGAAGATTGTGCTTCTTTTTTGCTTGCTCTCTGTAGCTAAAGTGAGCTCTCCCTCAAACTTCTTCTGCAGAGGCTGAAGCCTAGGCATGATTCAATGCCAATGACCTGCTCCTCTCACTTGCCTTGATGCCTGACTAGGCTGCACTCTCAAGCACATCTCTCCCCTGCTACTCTTTTTCTTCTTCGGACCTTCCTGAGGGGAGGGGAAAAAAAAAAGAAAAAAAAAAAAAAAAACACCCACGATCTCCTAAATGTTTCACAATCTCCAGCAACCATTCTCACGCCTCCGCTTAAGCAGGCAACAACTCCCTCCCAAAAGTACTATTCTAGTTCCCTCTCTCCCAGTACCATCTCAGTGTCCTGCCATCAAACCAGCTATTAATGAGTGATTAGTGCTCCAGAACTCCCTTCAGCCCCAGGAACAATCTGGTCCTTTCTCAGATTCAACAGTATCTTTTGCAGTCCAAGAGATGAGGAAGCAGCAGCAGCAATGATCCCAAGAGAAGGAGGGGTTTGGTAAAAAAGAGTAAGTAGCAGCAGCAAAGATCACTAAGAAGAGAGGCCAGGAACCTTGAGTTTAGGTAAAACACCCTTTAGCACCTTGTATCTACTGACCATGGCATGCAACGCAGAATCTAGCCACAAAGTTCTTTCAGAGGCTTTAAACAAGCCTTCCTAATTTTTTTCAGTTTAAGTTACAGCTGTAGCCTTCAAACAATCAACAGTGAAGTGTGGTTTATTTAAATCAGCTTTAAAATTGAAATAATCTTTGAGTTTGCTACAGCTTTAGATGTTCTGATCACCAATGATGCCAGCTTCCCCTATGTTAATAAAATATGGAACATAGTACAAGTCTCTTATTTATTTCTGACTCACCAGTATCAAGGTACCAAAGATCTTTGCAGCAAACTTGATTGTTCCAAGCTTTTCTGTAACCATCTCTACCACTCCAGATATACAGACGAGTGCCAACCGCTACAGCACAGTGTCCTGCTCTTGGCCCTGGTAACAAGTTACTTTTGTCCTCCTGGCAATCTGAGATCAGACCTATCCATTCTGTGGTATCTAGTAAATGAAACTCGAAAAATTTAGTTTCTAGATGTTTTCCAAAACAAGCAATACAGATGTTAATACACTTAACTGCTCAGAGAAAATGAAAATAAATCACCTCTGTTTTTATAGACAATTGCATTTAAATTTGCAATATTACAAAAAGAAGGTCGCCTTCCAATTAGTTTGCAAGATACGATCAATTAATACAGGATAAATTTTCTGACCTCTGGTTGTCTCTCTCAGGCAAATACAAGATTCAGGGGTAGTACTATCACATTTAGAAAAAACTCATTTCAGGATCTGTCTCTTGTGTTCTATTTGTGTTCTAAATGAAAAAGGAGTATCTATATTACTTAGCATTAATGTTGTATGAACAAATATTCGCATCAGCAAACCTGCTGAATGTTCAAAGAAAAATAATAATAATAAAAAAATCACTTCTTAAGATTAAGTGGCATCTTCTTTAGTCAGCTAGGATTACAACTGTGTATCCTAAAACTTTTCTCAGGGTCTTCAAAATACTTATTCTACTCTGTTAGGAAAGTATTAATTCAAAATGCCCACTCCCAGAAAGGCAGAAACACTGACCCAAATTAAGATAAGAAAATGAACCGGTACATTTCCATTCACCATCATGAGCAGAAATTTCACCTCCTGCTGACTGTGGAACCCATCCACCAAAAACATACATTCTGAAATATAGGAAAAGAGGGAAGAGGGGAAAAAGAAAAGAAAAGCCAATTAACATCCAGATCTGCTGCATGTGCTCTCTCAAACTAGGACAAAACAGAAAATTTCCAGTTCTTTACAGTTCTGGTTTACAGCAGATTTTTTTTGTGTCTAGTCTCTTTAGAAAGTATTGTTGCAGACATCTACCTTCTGAATTTTTTCAGAAAGTTAACTGATTTAAAAAAACCAACCAAACAAAAAACCCCCCAAACTCCTCAAACACCTTCCCAGAAACAGAAGTTAATACTGTATCTTTTTACAAAACACCAAACTGCTAATACTCTCCAAAAATCACACATTTACACGGAATTTCTACAACCCTTTACTGCAGACCTCTCAATAAACCATTCTAAAATTAGAAGACCGGTATCTAAGTCAGATATCAAAATTTTACAACATAATGCAGGCTACAAACTAATAACATTTTATGTAAATAATAAAAAGCTAAGCTCTTGGATCATAGGATACAAAGCTTTCACACTTCTTTCCCCCCTTGCCTCTTTCTCCTCACGCCAGCTTGTAAACTGATATAAAATGGACTGAAACCCATGTTTAAAAGTCCATTTTATCAATGCTATCTGCCAAAACAAATCATACTGGTAAGAAGCAAAGTAATGAGGAACAGACTACAGAAAAACTGGCCCACAAAAATGTGGAATGGTTTTGCCTAGAACTAGTTCTACTCTTTGGGCAGTTTCTTTGTGTAGCTAGTTCACTGTGTCACAGACACAGAGGCACTCAAGTTGGCTCCTGACAGAGCCAGCTCAGGTCCAGCTGAGACCGCCCCAGAACGCACAAAGGTGCATTAAGAAGCCTATAAAGCTGCTTGTGGGTTGGGCAGATTGTCCTGCTGGACGGAAACACTGACAGTTTGATACCCTTAAGTTAACAATGGTACTTTTAATTTCCACTGAGGTAGGATAATAGAAGCAGAAAAGTACTCTACAGGGCTGATGGTTTATACTGAGCAGTAGTGGATAAGCATCATCATTCTCCTACTAGGTGTACCTTTCTAGAGTTGAGCTTTTAACAACAGACATACTTGTTTCCTATTACATTGGCCGTATGGAGACTGCGAGGAAGTGGTACTGTCCCTTTAGTTTCTGGTCTTGACCAGGTCATGGTTTCTGAAAGAAAAAGAATAAAAACCCTCAAGCAACTTATTACTGTGTATTTCACTACCTGGATATTAGGAGCGAACATATCTCTAACATTCAACAAAACAAAATTTCACCTTTTTAAGATGGCCACTTTAAGAAAGAAGGCACAATAACAAGCACTTAAAGCTTCTTTTAAAATTCACAGGAAATACTGACATACTGATTGTTTATCACTTTATCAAAAAGATATATTATGGTTTCATTACGGTTATTCAACTTGGTTATCATAGTGACAGTCTTTAAAGCACTCTAAGGAAACAATCTCACAGTGTAACCAAACTCAATGAGGATAATATATGAAAACAATGCTGCATCTATTTAATTACAAAAATTACAAAAGGTTAACGCTATGGTGTGAGTCCCAATAATATCTGCACCACATCATGCCATTAATCATTATATAGTATAATTTTTCCTCTTAGCCAGTGAGGCCCCTGCACTGACTTCTACCGGCAAATCAACTCACCTATGTCAAGTTCCCAGAGATCATTAAGCCGACAGCCACACATCCCTCCAAAAATGTACATCTTTGGACTTCCCAAATCTTTTCTGCAGTATACGATGGCTGTGTGAGATTCTCGGGGAGACGGCAAGATCCCTTTGGTCACAGGAATACTCCAGCCGACAACTCCAGAACCGTGTTGCAGCTCCAGTTCATAGAAATCATTTAAATACCTAGGGTATTATTGACAAAGTATGAAGAATTCACTTACAAGCAAGATTACAAGTGAGCTTTAAACCCCGACCACTTCCAAGTATTACAGACTTCTATCTTGGAAGAGTGTAGAATTTTAAAATCCCAAAACATTTGATGGCATTGCGGACGGTACCAACACTAAATGGATTTAAAACAAAAAAATGAACTATTATAACTTGTTGCCTCTAAGGAAACATGCTTTCATATCATACTTGACGCACTATATTACACGAAAGAAACATTCAAAAGCGGTAAACAACATTCCTAGCAGAAATTACTACATATGGACAAACTTGGAATAAACTGCAAAGCTGTGAGAAATACACGATGACATGGGACATTAGAGATGAATTTCTGCAACTCTAAGGCAACAAAGGTGAAAAGAAGTTGTTTCTTTTCCGATGCCTTCAGGCTGGCCAACAGACAATTAGCCATTTGTTGCTGAATCTATCGGCAAGTTATTTTTAGATAACGGTCTCTGAATCTTGGCACTCACACCAGATACCTCGTTTACTGAGTTTAAAATTGCAAGTTTATAGCTCATGGATATAAGCGCTCTGAACTGCAGGTGAATGTGGATATAAAACTTCAGCATTATAGCACTGTTTGCCAATAATAAAGGCAACTTTAGCCGTTACTTTAAAAAATTTCCAGATGAATTCATAACTGTTTTCTACAGCATTATAGAGGAAACTTCCATTGTGAATTCCCCGATGACTCATGACACTGCTGATTTAAGTAATTCTAACAAACAAGCCATTCTTAAAAACATCACCCAAAATACTAGGAAAAACACCAAAGTCTACTCAGGTTTCCCGCCAGAAGTGTTAGAGCTGTCAGTCAGTGTTACATATTGTAGGATTAGCAAAAGAAATATTTAAGTTTCTTAGCATGTAACCCCTCCACTGCACAAATAATCCGAATGTGAGTACTTGGTATGCAGGACAGCCTCCCTAGAATGTTCCTCTTCAAAGTTGTCGCATCTAATAATTCAATTTCAAAGACATTGAATTCAAACCAAATCAGCATACCTGGGAACGTTATTATTTGAATCCTCACTTTCATTTGCCAGGCCACCAAATAAATAGCACTTGTTACCATATAAAGAAAAGCTGTGGCCAAGTCGAGGACAAGGTGGTAATCCAGTGGAAGGAGCTTGAGGTTTTACTTTTTTCCAGAGCCATCTACTGGCCTTAAAGACAAGAAATATATATTTAGAAATATCTTCATTTATAGTCGTTCATAGTCAATAGAATTCACTCGTGTATTTTCTGAATTATTTTTAAGGGAATGCTCGGCTTTTCTTAGGATATACATTAAAAGGGACACATAAGAGCTAACCTTCATAAAACATTAAATATCTTATACTTTCTTTAGACTAGATGGAAATCTCTTTTTCAAAGTTATTTAGATTTTCTCCATCTTCAGGATCTATTTAAAGAGTTTATTCCTCCTGGAGCAAAGCAAAGCTCATCTACCTTTCCTCTCCAGTTGGTAATATAAAATGTGTTTGTTAATAAATAGTTAAAGTAGTCCTCAAAACTGAAACATCTTCATACATTTCCTACCTGTAATTCATATAAATCATTACTGTATCTTCCATATTCAACCATTCCTCCAAAAACTAGTATTCTGGTACCATCACAAACAAATCCATGTGCTGCACAGCCTGGAGGAATATCTCCCCTTACAGCAGGAAGGAACCACTGATTTGTAGCTATAGGGGAAAAAGAAAGAAAAAAGAAAAAAAAAAAAAAGAGAGAGAGGTTTCAAACACTGAGAAGGAAAGTGTATTTTTAAGCATCTCTGCTTTCTAAAGAATTACCTTTTACTTGTAGATAACTGTGAATGGGCTGTTTGTTTAACACGAAGTTTTAATTGAATTAAAACTTCTCTTTTTAATAAAAAGAAAAGCAAACACCTCTATCAAACCAATGTTACTCAATATATGAATGAGCACATGAGGTTACTGTAACTAAGTCAGTTACCAAGGGTCACCCAGCAATTTAATGGACTTGCCAAAAATAGAGGCTAATGAGGAACATAAGTGCAGTTCCACACAAAAGAGATAACTACGCTAACTCAGAGGGAGCTAGCCCTAGAAACAGAATTATTAGAGCTACAGCAGCATGGCAGTGTGCCTGGACTTAATAGCCCTATTGAAAAACTAATTACACTGTTCTGGGACCAATGTTACTATCTACAGAGCACTGCACTGATACATGGGAGAGGAGAGGCACACAGGCAAGAAAGAGCAACTGAGACTGCATGATCCAGCAGCAGCATATTGGTGTTTAAACTGTTCTGGAATGAAAGAATTACAGGAGATTCTGTCTCCTTTTTCCTAAGCTTTTTTCATGAGCACGAAGAGGAAAAGTGTGAAATCAGAAGCTTCCAGGGAATGTTGCTGCAGGGGATTAAGATGCCCTCGCTGTGTGCCAGCTCCTCAGAAGTCACCACACTCATAGCAAGAGCAATAGTTGACATCCCAAACTCCGGCAGCCCAGGTCACAACCCTGCATCTTAGCCCGCAGAAAAAAAAAAAAAAAAGGTCAATTTGGGCCAAACACCCGTCTCGGAACTGGAACAACTGAGTCGTGATCCTTTTTGTCACTGCTGCAAAGGGTAAACACCTTTAGCAGAAAGTTTGGGCAGAAAAAGAAAAGAAGTGATGTTAAGACTCACTCAAAAAGCACCTATTAGAACCTCTGTTCTGAAAGACAGTATAACTGTACTATCTGAAAGCTTTCTTTAGATTACTCATCAAAACAGACAGGTTGAGAGATTCGCCCCCCCAAAAAAAATGTGATTAAGTACCGCAGATCCTTAACCCACCATGGAAAAATCTGTTTGGAAGAACTCTGACAGTAAGCATTTTCTTCTTAATAAACTCCAAAAACCTCCAAAACATGTTTGTGCTCCCAGATTTTATCTCAAAAACACTCAGCAAAAACACCACCACCTTTTTTTTGGGGGGGTGGGGGGCGAGTGGGAAGCAGGGCATGATAAGAATATTTTTTTAATGATTCTTAAAAGTTGGCAAGTTAAAAGGCTAATTAACACGCTCTCACTTTCATGCTTTTGGTATGTTGCACAAGCAGCCAGCACTGGCTGACTGAGAAGCACAGATCAGTCACCTAACTCTCCCGTCTCAGCCCAAGCTCTGAAATGACACAAAAGTTTTCCAGCCTCATATAGCATCCCGTACAGTAACTATTTAGGCATCTAATCTTTCATGAATAAAATCGGTTTGGGGCAGCTTCCTGTCTGGAAAGGCTCCCAATGCCAACATGTTCACTTTTCTAACCAAGACTCCTATTTCAGCGTGTTCAGCTCTCGTGAGCTGCCACCAGAGGGAAGAAGGGGGATTTGGACACCCGAGGGGGCTAATCCAGCCTGCAGTCATTCAGCTGAGACCTGCCAGGGGAGACTGCAGCCCAGGACGAGGGCCTGTGAAAGCAGCACAGACGTGATGCGCAAAAGGAGATTTTCCAGGTTCCTTTTTCCCGGAAAGGAGCATTAACCCCGCAACACCAGCCAGGGCGCTGCACAACCCCGGGAGGACCCCTCGACCAGACGTTATTTCCCGCCCCCGCGCCCCATTACGACTCCAGGCAGCTTTTCAGCCAGGGGACAGCCCGC